AAGGGAAGGGAAGGGAAGGGAAGGGAAGGGAAGGGAAGGGAAGGGAAGGGAAGGGAAAGGAACATAAAAAGTGGTCCTTGATTTCCTTGATTACAGAGCATCTTAATTAGCTCTTTGAGAAGGTAAATACTGAAATTTTGATGATTTCTAACTCAACACATTATTCCAAATTTCAACTGAATTAGACCAGAATAAACACTGGACTCTGGCTGCTAGGATTTAAATATTACCTTTGTTAACAGGCATCTCCTATTCCTGTAAAAATCATTTCAAACAACTGTGAAGTGAGTACAAAAGCCTCCTTTAGAATGACTGGCAACATTCTTGGTCATTTTCCCCTTCTTTTGCTTTCCAACTCTATGTATTATATTTCTGCCTGTAATGCTAGTCCCATGGTAGGATGTATCCTGAACCAAGTAGAGTGCTTAGCAAACAGGACTCCTGGAGTCTGACTGCCTGGGTTCAAATCCCGATTTTATAATCTTAGGCAAATCATTTCACATTCTGTGCCTCAGTTTCCTCATCTGTAATATGAAGACAATAATAGAACTCATAAGGTTATGATGAATTAAATTAGCTGAAATAAATAAAGCACTTAGGTTAGCGTGGGGCACACAAAAAGTGATCAATGAGCATTAGCTAAGTATCTGTATGCTCTTCTCTTCCCGAGACTGACACTGAAGCATTCTAGACACCTTCCTCACACCCTGAAACAGCATCTTCTCTATTTGCAAATTGTTGTCTCCCAGTCTGCCACTTCCTCAGAGAAAACAACATTAATAGGAAGTCAAGAGTTTGTATTCCTTCTGTGCTGATCATCTCTAGCTTTTTCCCATTTTGGTTTCCCTGGAACACCCAGACTGACTTTGACAACATCCCACCCACCCTTTGTTTTCCTACCAGGAGAATCTCCACTACACCCATGCCTGGCTTGGCTTTCCGTCTCTAAGCCATGAAGCAATGGCCACACCTGGTCCATATACAACCCCTCGGAATGCTCACTAATTCTTCAATATTCCCCTTCTCACCACGTATACATGGGGTTATACAATTCCAACCAGCCTGAAGAGGCTTGTCTTTACTTAGATGATATTGTGTTAAGATACGGCATGGCCTCCAGCTTGGGAAAAATATTTAACTGTTTCTGAGACAACAGGACTTAACATTCACCTTCCAATGTAAATACAGAAGATCACTGTTAGAAGACTCAGTTATACTTTCTGTGGTTTCAGAATTATGTCTGTTGCACAGAGTCAGTTTTCTGTCGCATCACATAATCAATAGGTACGTATTTTATTAGAGGCTTTGTTTTTCCAAAACTGTATGGACTTCCATCATGAGGGTCAATTGATGTTCCTTTCCTTTTTCAGTCTGATCCCTGGGGGAATGGGCTTGTATGACATTCCCAGATCCTGGCTCAGCCAGCGGGTACACATAATGATGTGCCATTAACTATGCTTGAAACACTAAAGGAATTGCAGGTCTAGAGATTCAGAAAAGCTGATAATTCAGTATCTATCTGTTCAAGTCCTGCTGAAACATTCAAAGGGAGTTTTCCAGTTGTTGTCACCTTTCTGCAGAAACAGCTATTTCTTGCTCTAAATAATTGGAATAGATTTCCCATTTCAAAAGCTGGAAACTGCAGTGGGAAAATACAGCCTAGAAAACTGGCTGCAGTCATTGGAAATAATGCCTATCTGAATGACTGGATAGTTAAGTTGTTTTTTTAATGAGAAAACTCCATCTTGTTCATCCTAAAATAAGAAAACTTGGTTAAAAATATAAATATCTTCATTCATAAGAAGTACATTCAACCAGCTTTCAGATCACTACACCATTCATTGAGCATAACAAGTGTTTTAAAATGAGCTCTCATACTGAGGAGGAGGGAATGGGGCAGGGGACAGGGAGAGAGAGACTAATTGATTATAACTAGCTGCTGGATTCCTATGTCTTTTGCCAGTATGATGAACATCTTATTCTGATTTGGGGTACATTTTAATTGAACTATTCACTGTATGAATAAAAGATCAAGTTTCTGGAGTTATTTGATGCACACTTGTAAATCACTGACCTGACTCCATGTTTTATGTACCTCATAAAAGTACCACAGCTAATATGCCCTTTTCTAATTCCTGAGACTTGCAGTGTGGGTTGGAATTTACCACATCCAAATCAGGACTTGGATTTAAATGCTAAGCATCTGAAGTAGGCCAGGCCATCAACCTAATGCAATATAATCATAACTTGCCCTCACTTGGTTATATTAATTTCCATCTCCTTGTCATCTTGATTTCTGGTCAACATTGATATGTGCAGTCAAATGGAGAAAGAAAATTGGGTGGGCTGGGGTGGGGGGAGAAGGCTGTGGTTTGAGTCCCTGCTTAAGGAGACAGCTTTGTCTCTCTTTTACTGGACTTTTCAGTTTCGTTTAGTCTGAAAATGTGGATTGTGGATGCTGCCCAGGTGCTTATTCCATCTGGAGAAGAGAAGGGAGAAAAGAAACAGCAGACCACTGGATCCCTTCAATAAAACAGGAGCACAGAGCTGAAAAATCCTATTAGATAGCTTTCATGTGGATTATATATTTTGAGTTACCATCCTGTAATACCTTCATGCTCAAACTACTCCCTGGGCCATCATACACTTTTCTGTTTTTTCTCGACCTTCCAAACTGTAAATCATAAATGAAATAAAATTAACTTCTTTTTCTGTTGTTGGACTCAGCAATGATTGAGCCAATTCTAGACAGCTTTATCCTTTTCCCCCATTTTTCTTATAAATATTTTAAACACATTTAAGTTGCCTGGTGATAATATTCAGATAGATAGGTAGATAGAGGTATGGATTGCTTTTCATGTTAAGATGTTCTTATGGCAATTTGACTAATGCTAGACAACATAGACTAGGGGCATGAATGAGATAAAATTCCAGATATTTAATTTCTACGGTTTTAAAAACATTGGTTACCAATTCCTTTCCCTATCGCTTTAGAGCAGTGGTTCAGCACGAGTAGTAAGGATGTAGCTTGTGAAAACGGCACCTATCTGCTTGTGTCTGCAGGAGTCATCAGCCCATAAAAACAACATCCAAATTGTCTTGGGTGTAGTTGAAACGGAAGAGTTCCCACTGCCTGTTGTATTTATTCTGTTTTTTCCTCCTTATTCTGGAGTTTTCAAGGTACTTACCTGTGTTCGAAAAATAAACTTCAAGAATTAATAAATTTGAAGTATTTCTTATGTGGTTATTTGCCCTAAACTTGTTGGAATGGCACAGTAACCACACATCCCAGTTTGCCTAAGATGATCCCGTTTATTCTTATTGTACCAACATTGTTATTAATAGCACACATTTTACTCTCAAAAATGTCTTGATTTTACAATAAATTATATGCCCCTAGTCTAATCCAACAACCTTGGACTAGTAGCCTAACCCCATTTTTTATGAGCTGTGTGACCTTGGAAAAATTCCTTAATTTCTCTGTCCCTTCTCACAGTTCACTAATGTAAAAGAACATCTAAAGAAGCAACTGTGTAACCAAATGCATGTTTAAGTGACTCGGCAATGGTGTCCATTGCTTCTGCAAACTATAGTTATATGAAAAAATAACATATATATTATAATGGTTTTACTTTAACACACACTTTCCTGCACATTATCACAATTGTTCTTCAGACAATTCTCACGAAGCAGGTATTATTAACATCCTTATTTCTCAGTTTAACACACTCAGTTGGGGAAGTTGTCTTTCCCAATGTGACAAAAAACAAATGCCAGAGCCAGATTGAACCAAATTCTTCTCATTCTAACTGCCCTATTTGGGGCACTAGTAGAGGGTAAATACTAAATTCTTAATCATTTTTAAATTTATTTTCAACTCAAGTTGAATTGTCAACTCAAATAACTAACACATTCTGAACTACATTTATCTCGATTTCAGTTAGGAATTGCTACACTGTATTATAATAGCATATTTAATTGTCCCCCTCTCCAACATAAATTTTTTAATTTTGTGAGGGAAAAGATTATAGATTTCTTCTTTATCTTTGGGTTTATAGTGCCTTTCTTAATTTCCAACACACATGCAGGCACTCAGTAAATGTTTATTAAGTTGAATAAAATCGGTTTCTTGAGCAGTATCCTGGGAAATATCAGGTAAAAGGAAAATGTTTTCTGTTTGTTCAGGGCCTGTATTCATGCTCCCGGTTAAGTGATGTTTTGAAAAGAGGAGACAAGTCTTTCACCTGAGGCGACAAGTCTTTCACCTTGATCGCCTGAGGCGATCAAGGCCATTCATGGGAAACTGAATTCATTTCTCTGCCCTTTCCTAACATTTCTTCTTGGGCATTTTACTGAGATACAGCGGGGAGAGGTTTTGCTTCCCTCAAGGGAAACTCCCTACCTGAAACTCCCTGTCAAAATATTATGACTTCTTAAAATGAGAACATATTTTCTCAGTGTCAAGTACTTACTTTCTAGATCCATAAAGATTTCCATAGGCATTAGAATCATTATAACTCTGCTCCTGATTTTCAATGTTATAATTAGATTGGTAAAAGTCGGAGTCAAATTGTCCCAAGTTTGACATCCTGAAAAATAAGAGTGAAAAATGCAGAAGTTTAGGAGTCAATAAAGGTTCCCTTGAGGTATTTACGAGGATTAATAGATGCTGTGATTATGGCAGGATTCCTATTAGAGAACAAGGTAGTCTTTGAATGGGGGAAGGGTGTGGAAATGTATGCTAGAAAGTCATTTACAAAACCTATATCTTCAATTCCCTTTTCTGAAGTTTTCACTCACTAGGACTGTGACTTTGACTAAATTGACTTTAACTGATCTGAAAAAAACACATTCTTCACCTAATACCTTATTCTCAGCAGTTTAAGAGAAAAAGTTTAAAAGTTGGTATATATCTAGAAAGTTTTCCCTTAAACAATGTTAGTTCCCCACTATAAGAATATATATAGAGAGAGATAGATATACATATATATACATATATGTGTGTGTGTGTATCTATCTATCTATCTTTCTATCTATCTATCTATATATATATATATATCTTGTTGCAAGGCCAGAAAGCAAACAGCTAATAATAATAATGTTTGATTTTCTCATAGAGCTTTAAAGTGTGCTAACAGCCTCTCTTCTCCCCAAAACATAGACAAAACTCTAAAAACTAATCTCCTAGTTCTACTTTATAATTCCTAAAAGGTGTTTGAAACATTTTCCTTTTCTCTTGCCCTGCCTGCTGCACTTAGGCTTATGCTAAGTCAGAGGGAGAAAGGCTCAATTCTGCTACAGGAACAGAGTCTATCTTTCCATACACCATCTACATAGTTTTTATTCACTTCTGGGAATGAAGAGGAGTGCATGATCTTGATATAGACCTAACGGTTTAGAATAGCAGAGGGAAAAAGAAAGACTTGACAGGAGGAAAAGGTGGGGAAAGAAAACAATAGCAAAGTGGGTAATAGTGTCTCTTTGGATGAAAATTAGAGAATGGAGTAAAGAATCTTTTCAACCTGACAGATATGGTTTTCAACTCAACATTTTAACCTTTATTTTTTCTTTGAAAAGCTTTCTATTTCAAAAGAATGAATTTAAAAATCACTAACAGTAATCCATATAATTATAATAAATCTATGGAATACTACTTACAATAAATTTCAAATGAAACTGCATAAACAGCCTTAGCTCTAAGGGCCTCATTAATCAGAAATATGCAAGTAACAGTTGTCAAATATATCAAATTTTTTTCAGCTCAGTAAAAATACAGAAAGCTTTTCTAAAATTAGATTCATACATCTGATATAAGAAGTCAAGATTTTTCATTAGTAATGTGTATAAAAGTAACTATGATTATATAAACTAAAATCAGGACTAGGAGAGTGTTAAATCTTTTAACAACTTATAATTTAAAGAATTTAAAGTTTAAGAGCAGAACTTTCTCAGTCCATGAAAATATGTTATTATAAAGCATAGAGAGTAATTTTACTGGAAAATACAGTAAGTTTTCAGAACATGCAAAGCTTTATGTAATATGACTATAGGTATTAAAGTCCTTACATAACCCAGCTTTATATTTTGTTTAAATGCCAAATTTTTTAGAAGGATCAGACACATACCTTTATATTATTTTAGTCGAAAGATCCTCCAACAAATGTAGTTTTATCTGAGAAATTTTTAACAACAGCTCATGAAAAGATGACCTGCTGGCTATATATATAAGCTTCTAAATTTGTACTCTGACACTCTGAACAGATGCTACAGCCAAAAAAAAAAAAACAAACAAACAAAAACCTGCCAAAAGCCAAACACAGTATCTTGTAATACTTGTTAAAGTGTATAAACACAGTGAATGGTGTAGAGAAAATTTGATAAAGTAAATGGTGGATTCAGTTTCCTTCTGTGGCTAATATACCCTTAAACAATGATTTAAAGTTATTTATTTGAGGCAAACAATAAAGAGGCCTTAACACTCCTTCTGCTTTTTAGCCTATGAGAGTAATTCACCCTAGACAAGATTTCCTAATAATATGCAGTAAAAATCAATATATGGTACATGATCTTAGCATGATGATCTTAGCAACAATCTGAAAATGAATGTTATCAATTTTATCCAAATATGAACCATTCAGTTTATATAAACAACGTTTAGGAAGACTACCCATGATCTACCTCTGATATTTTTCCTTACTTCTTCTCCATCACAGCCCCAAATGGATATACTAATGTGATCTAGGAGCACTCCTCATTTATAAGGCATGTTCTCTCTCATTTTTGACCCAATCTTGACCACTGAAAGGCACATATGATATTGTGATTTATAAGAAAAATATATATATGGTCATCCAGTTGACCAAAATACATTTCTCATATATATATTTGGTCTTTGCTCATGGTTCCTCACTCATAACTCCCAAAACCCTTGGAATTTTCTAAGTGTTGAGAGTGACAAAGGTGTTTTGATATGTTAATGAGGTAATTTTGGGATGTCATCTATGGATGGGGGCTGGCTGCCAATGGAGCCAATAATGTGATTAGAGGGTTGGAACTGTCATTCCTATCCTAACCTCTGAGGAGGGAAGAGGTTCTAGATGTTGAATCAGTTGCCAATGGCCAATGATTTAATCAATCATGACTATATAATGAAGTTTTCATAAAACCCCAAAAGGATGGTGTTTGGAGAGCTTCTGGATTGGTAAACATGTGGAGGTGCTGGGAGAGTGACACCCTTGTGGAGAGGGCATGGAAACTCTGCACCCTTTCACCATACCTTGCCCTATGAATCTCTTCCATCTGGCTGTTCCTGAGTTATATCCTTTCAAAGTAAACTAATAGTCTAGTAAGTAAATTGTTTTCTCTGAGTTCTGGGAGCCACTCTTGCAAATAAATTGAATCGAAGGAGGAGATCATGGTAACCTCTGATTTATAGCCCATGGGTCAGAAGTACAGGTAACAACCTGGTCTAGCTACTGGTATCTGATGGGGGTGGGGGAGACATTCTGTTGGGACTGAGCTCTTAACCTATGGAATCTGACGCCATCTCTAGGTAGATACTGTCAGATTGAGTTGAATTGTAGGACACCCACCTAGTGTCCCAAGAATTGCTTGGTGCTGCATGGGAACCACCCCCCTGCAACGTGTTGGAATTGGTACCACAAATAATTTAGCATCACATTAATTTCCATCCCAGGAAACTGCCTGAATTTGTTCCCTTTACATCTGAAGTTTACTTCCAGGAGGTTTCTCCCTAGTTCTGACCCAGGTACCCTGGTTAATACTCCCAATACCTATCTGGATCTGGTGGTTTTGTCCTTAATATCAACATCATGGCTGGAGGTCAAGTTCCCCTGCTATCTGCTTCTTGCTGACTTTCCTTTATAGAATGTGAGACTCCCCATGTATCCAGATCTCAGTAACTGAAATCTACTGTTCAAGGGTAGATTATGTGGCATTTTGGAACTTTCAACCAGAGCCAACGGCAGAATGGTAAAGTAAATTTTTCCACATTATTTTAAAAGATTTGGAATTTGAATTTCTTTAATCAGAGGTATCTTTTGCCAGGTAACCAGTCAAGTAATAATGAGTCATGCATTTTTTGAGGATCTATTGAATACCAGACTGTATTCTAGATGTCGTAATTACAGAAGTGGATGAACTAAATAGACCTGCATTTCAAGAGCTATGTTTTAGCATCAATTCTACTATATCTACAATAAATAACAATGACTAGCCAGGTACTGTTCCATGAACTTAAGGTTTAAGTTATTTAACTTTCACAACAACCTTATGAAGTATTATTATCCCATTTTACAGAAAAAGAAGTAGAGATTAAATAACTTGCCCAGGTGGAAGCTAGTTGGTGGAAAAGCCAGTGTTCGCAACCTCATAGGCTGAGTCCAGAATTCACAATTTATCCAAGACAATTTCATGAATTAACCAAAATCTATCAAGAAGTGATCATATACTGTTAAGATGGAGAGTGCAAAAGGGAGAAAATTGGAGTGTTCAGTGAAGTCCTCTTAAGAAGGTCATTTGATTTGAGACCTGGTTGATGAGAAGAAGCCACTTGAAAGACTATGTGAAGAGGATATAAAGCAAATGCTCTGAGATGGCAAGGAATTGGCAGTTTGTAGCTTAGGGAAAAAGCCACGTGGTTGTGATTTTGAATCAAAGAAAAGTTGAAGGAGATGAGGTAACAGACGTAGGCAGAGGCCAGATCATAAAGGCCATGGTAAGGAGTCTAGATTTTATTATGATTGAAATAAGATGCCACTGCAGGTTTTTAAGCATAGGATGATATGATCAATCTTGTGCAGAATTTGCAGGAGACTTGTCAGGAGGATGTTGTGGCAGTAACACATGCATGATGTACAGGTGGCTTGGACTAGGGTAGCAGTGGAAGTGGGAGAACTGGTAGAAAAGTCTTGGCAGCTGAGGGAAGTGAAATGGAGCAGGACCCTATGGTCCTCCCCCCACCCCCTGTGTCCTGCCTGCTTTTTGTCTGTGGAAAAACTTTAGCCAAAGAATAAATTTAATCAGAGAAGTGAGAAAATGCAGAAGCAAAGGAAAACAGTCAAAAGAGACCAAATAATAATAATTTAGTCATTAAACATAGTCAAGGACTCCTAGTTCCTCCTCAGCGGCTGTAGATAATATTCTGAGCCATATCCTGTGAGCTGTCTTACAGATACTGAAACCCACACCCGGTGGAAGAAGTTAACTACATGATGACCAGATGGTAGCCATGACATAAGTTGCCACAATTCCAAGAATTGGACTCAAAGAAATGAGAACAAACAGACCCTCAAACTGAAGACTAACTGTACCTAAAGCAATCAAGATGACGCTGGTTTGACCACTGCATGACCAATTTCAAGATGGCTGTCAGAGCTGAGTGTGGTGTTTCTGCAGGTAGCCCCTCCCTCTGATTGTCGGGGGTTGGGGGGGAATCGGCCTTTGGACGGGAGTCCCCCCTCCCCACCACCATGCCGGTTGCCGGCATCCAAAATAAAGCAAACTCTCCTTTCCATCAACCAGGTCTCTTTATTGGCTTTTGAGCAGCGAGAAGCAGGACTCCACTTTC